ACCATCAAAGCTCACATCCGTTCACCCCACAAAACACACCACAGTGAAACTTCAGAAATAGCAGTGCCCACAGCCTAGGGCAGGAAGTTGGGTTTAAGGGTTGGGAGGGGGAGGGTTCTTTAGCTCAATTTCATTGATGGGAGTATCCTTCTGCAAAAAAGAGACCCTTGACCTTTTGACCTTTGGCACCCCTGGGAGCACTGCAGCTGTTGCATCTCCTGGGCTCTCCCCCAAGAAGCAGAGCTGTGAAGGCCCCTTGTGAATAGACAATGTGCTCTTATACAAGAAAGATAGGATTGCCTCTTCTCAGGGAAACAGTCCAGGGCCCCTGTCTTTCAGGGAAGTTACTGAACCACAGCCAAGCCACAAAAATCAGCCACTAAAATAGCCTCAGACTTTTTTTTTTTAAGAATAAGTAAATGCAATTCAAGGGATATTGGAGTTTGTAGATCCCAGATCTCAACCAGCCAGCATCCCCAAACCAGTGAAAGGTCAGGGAAAATACCAGTCCTGGGACTGAACATTTTGCAGCTCACCACGTAGGCCTGTCCTTGGCTTGGTCAGCTGCACACAGGTTCCCTACCACCAAGCTAGGACCACTGCTTTTATCCATTGTCAGCTATTTGCTGAAAATAGAGCCAAGCACAAGACATTCTGCTGTGTTCTGGACGATTCAGTTTACATGAAGAACACACATGGTTCCCGGCCTCAAGGAATTTAGTCTCATGGAGGAAGGAGATGTTAACCAAACAATCCCATAAACAGCATATAGCCATAACTGTGATAAGATTAAGGAAGATGTTTGATGATCATCGGTAAAAAGTGTACTTGACCCAGTCAGGGAGACCAGCTGAGTCAGCTTGGAGTAAGAGAAACTTGAGCTGAGCTTTCAAAAAAGCTGGAAAGTGGTTAACTAGATGCTAAATGGAAGGAAGAGTATTCCAGTCAAACAGTATACATTAAGGCCTTGTGACAGGCAGGATATATTGAGTTTAAGAGAGGAAAGATGGCTACAGAGTACAGAGACTGGAGTAGAGAGGCATGTAGAGGGGTGATTGTGGGAATCCTGTAAGTCACATTAACAAGTCCCATCTTCATGGCTTCAAGCTGGAGAAAGCACCATCTGTTACATAATCAGATTGCGATTTGAAAAGCCCAGGTGAAATGCTCATTGCATCAGCTGCTACCACTTGACCATGGGAAAGTGGACCCGTAAGCTTTGACCATTGACATTAACTCCTGGCTTCAGTGAACCTATTATGACCAAAGGAACTGATGTGTCTCCTCTATATTCAAGCACCTTCTGATCCTTCTCGTATGTCTCCACTCCCAGAGCCTTCTATCTGAGCCAACAGGCCGATCGGTCAACTCCTTTCTAACACAGTCTCTTCCCTGAGCTTCCTTCCAGCTCCCCTGATGGCACAGCTTCCTAGTGGCTGCCTCAAGCCTGTGTTCTTTCGTCTCTCCCAGTCGCATATGCTACCAGTCTATGAAGGGGAGATGGAAATCTACAGCTGCATGCAATAATTCCAGATGCTTGCTCTTCCATCTCATGTTATCTAATCCTCTGTTCCTTTGAGATGTAAATCATATAGCTTAAGCACCCTCCTCTTCCCTGTTGTGTCATATGCTCACCTCCAAATCACCCCTTCTCACCCACTAAGGGTTTACTCTTCCTCTTACCACCAATATCATCTTGGAGGAACCACCCAACACATTCATCCTCATGTTGCTGTCATGCAACATGACATGATACAACATGCGGTCATGTTGTATCAGCAACAGACAGAAACCAAAGGCCCTCTGAAATTATGCCCTATCATCTCAATGTTTGTCATTTCTTAATGTCCATTCAAACAGCCCCATGGGGCCATTCTTTGACATCATTGTGACTATTGATCCATTGGTCCCAGTTCTCTTTGTACTTAGGTCTCTGACAGTCTCCACTTCTCTCTTTTCCCAGATTAGATTTCGCTACCCATCCTTGTATGCAGGTTTCCAGGCAGGCATCAGGCATGACAAGAAATGCAAAGAGTGTGATACCAACAAGAACTGATTACACGGATTTCAAAGTTCTACATGCCATCCAACAGAGAATTTAAAATGGAAAGAGAAAAGTATGTGAGGAGGCTTTTTAGAAGGAATGGTTGCCATGCTGAGTACTCCCCATTCTAGAGTGGTGAAGGAATGTTGCCTTCAACTTGAGCCTAGTGAAGCATATTTCTAGAATACCACCCAAAGAACTTGAAATGTATACATAGAAAATAGTAACTGTTCTATTTCCAAGAAAAATAGAGGAAGCAAAGAAACATACTGCACTTGGAAAAGAACAACACTCCCCTTCAGTGGCACCATGCTAGGATCAGTCTGCACTTCTGGAACTACATCGAGCGAAAGCAACCACCTGGGGAATTTTTGTGGATTTAATATGAGCCAGAAAGTGAAAAAGAAGGATCAGAGTTATTTTCCACTTGCTCAAGTAGGTCACCTGGGAAGGATTCCTCATGGTGTGGATGCTCAAAAATCTGAGCCTGAGCCAGAAGGAATGGCAGTTGCGGGGTCCGAGTAACAATGTGCCCAAAGGACTTCATAAATGCCCGTGGGAGTAAGAGTCCTCATTAAGCCTCTGCCACTCACAGCCCTCCTTTGTCCCAACCATCTAGTGAAACTACAGCTTTTAATAAAGTTAATTATATCTTTTCTCTGTACTAGTCCTGGAAAAGAATGAGAACCACAGGAGATAACTGACTAACAACAGATTAGCGCTCCTATGAACTGACGATCAATGGGCCCTCAACACCATAAAACAATTTCATAGTACTTTTCTAATTGCCATCATCTCTCACGGTACAGAAGCACCATTTCATACTTTGCCTTTCCTTAGCTTTTGATTTCTGTCCATGACCTTCATTCTTAGTGAATGGTCTTGCCTGGAACTTCACAGAGAACAAGAAACCCTGAGACGCCAGCAGAACTTCAAAGCAGTCCTCGCTGCCGTCATCTCTTCCTCCTGTCCTATCAGTGAGGGTCCCGCTCGCCTTTCCTTCAGGGGCCAAACCCAGGCCTGTGCTCTGAACATTCTCTTTTCTTTTCTCAGGACCATGCATTTCACTGTATGCTTTCAATTCTCTCCTACTCTTTTTCCTTTCTAATGATCCTACCCCATCATCATTCATGTAAGATCAAAGGTCTCCAAACCTACAAAAGAAAATTAAGAGATAATAAATCATCAGAGATATGCCTCCCTAATTCTTGTTTCCACATTCACACCAAAATTCTCTAGAATGATGTCTAAACACTTCATATTCACTACACTTACCTCCATTCTTTCCACATGTTCTTATAGCCTAGTTCTCATAAGCATCAAGGCACCATACTCCTCTGTGATGAGTTCAAAGTGAATGAACACAATAAAAAGAGACCTTCATCAGCATCTGAGATACTGACATGCTTTCTTTCATTTAACAAATATTGACCAGAGAAGGCAGTGTTTTGGTTTAGCCAGTTAAGCTGTCACCTGCTACCCCATATGGGCTCTGGTTTGTGTCCAGGCTGCTCTACTTCCAATAAGCTTCCCTGTCAATGTGCCTGGGAAAGCAGCAGAAGAGGGCACAAGTCCTTGGGTCCCTACCACCCACATGGGAGACCTGGAAGAAGTTCATGGCTCCTGCCTTCAGTCTGGCCCAGCCCTGAACCAGCAGATGGAAGATCTCTCTCTCTCTCTCTCTCACTCCCTGTGTTTCTCTTTCTCTCTCATAGCCCTGCCTTTCAAATAAAGTAAATAAATGTTTAAAAAATAAAAACTAATGTTGACCAGACCTTCTATGTTCTTGGCAGTATCCACGTGCTAGGGATATAGCTGCTGCACTCAGGGAGCTTAAATTCTTGAAACATTCTCTTCTGTAGACATAAGTGTTCCCCAAATCTCCCAGACTTCATACTATTTCTCTGGCCACTCCTCAATAGCCATGAATGATTCTACTCCACTCAACTTCCGAATATGTTTCTCAGAAGATCGCATCTGGGCCTTCTTCTCCTCACCCTTTACATTGTCCTTAGGCGTCAACTCTTCCTCATTTGTCCATTTCAGACCTCATTAGCAGATTCTGGATCCTTATACTCAGCTGCCTACTCTGCATCCTGTGGGCTGCCTCATCAGCATATCCTGCTCCACGTTTTCAAAACTGATCCTGTCATCTTCCCAGAAACCTGCTCCTCCTACAGGGGCTCTCATTTCAGTAAATGACACTCCAGTCGATCCTTGTGGTTTCTCTGTGAGAACCTGCTCACACCACAACTTCCTCTATGTATTTACCAACTCCTATTTATTTAATTCCTAAACATACATAAAGCCATCCACTTATCCCCATCTCTGTTTCCACCAGCCCAGTCTAAACCACCATTGTTTTTCGCCAGAGGTCCTTACCAAAGGCTCATAATGCGTTATGAGCTGTCTTCCTTTGTCTCACAGTGAGATGGGTGGGGAAGGAAGCAATATCTCTGGCTATCCTTTGGGAAGAGATGATATTCAGGGTAAGAGTTTATGGTTCTCCTAGCCAAGTGTTGTCTATGGGTAAACCTGTTTCCTATAACTGGCCTGTAACAAAGGTGTTTCTTATGTTTGTCAATGGCAACTCCTTTCTTTCTTCTGGCTATCACCTTGGCCTCTATTCCAGAGACAAATATACACAGGAACTTTAGAGAGGCCAACATAATTATTCACTCAAGGCCTTTGGTAATAAATCCAAAGATGGCTGACAGTGGGGAAGGCTGTAGTACCTAGGGTCCTGAATTATTCTTCTATCCCAGGCACCTCACCCCCACTGCCAATCAAGAAATGAGGATACTGCTTGTCACCCTGGTATAACCTCTGACACAATTCCCTCTCCATCTCTGCTTTTACCCTTCTTCCTCTTCCTGAAATCTCTGTGTCCCCATGGTCCTGGACACACTGCCTTCCCTCAGAAGTCAGCGAATCCCATGTCCCTCTGTTGGCCTACTTTTGAAGCTTTCCAGGGTCTGCAGTGAGTCAAGACCATTCTCTTCTCTGTTCCTTGATGGAGGGAAAGGTCAGCTTCAGATCTTCAGAGCTTGGGAGGGAAAACATCTGGGTTGCATTTTGTAGCTTTCTCCATAAATCTACAGAATAGACAACCAAAAAAAAATTAAAAACAAGTAAAAGGAAAGAAACCCAAATATATTTTGCCCAATGAAGATTGATGTTGTTCCCAAAACCTTTTTGGCTCTTCCCTGTTTATATTTGTCCTTTGAGTATAAATTTCAGCTTATTTTGTTACAAAAGTGTTACCCCCTTCTGAGCCTGGGCTACAAGGCAAAGCTGCTTTCCTTAACTGAACTGGGATGCCTGACTCAATCCTTCAGCCATGGGATAGTAGTTCAGGGCCATGTCTCTCACTTGCTGCCATTCTTTAACTCGATTGTCTTACATTCCTATATTCTTTCACTCAGGTTCTGCCTTGTCCTTGGCAGAACCTCTTCACCCTTTTTCAAGTTTCAGTCTGTAATCCCTTCATTGGGAAAATCCTCTCTGCCTCCTCACAGTCCTCTTGGCAACCGCATCATAGCACATTGTACACATTCCTCTTTCATAGTGCCAGTGAACATTGTGGAGAAACAGTTATGAGCGATTGTTTAATATGAGTATCCTCCATTAGACTGTAATCCCCATAAGGGCAGAGCCTCTGTCTTCCTCTGGGCTTCTTCGCCCACATTTGCACATAATAATTTTAGTTAATTATTGAATACCTCTATATGAACTATCACAGTTCTCACATTGCTGTAGAGGGGATATCTTAGAGAGGAAGGAAAGTGAGAAAAAAGGAAAAGTCCCTTACCCAGGGTTACACAGCCTTTAAGGTGGAGCCAGGAAGACTGCTGAAAATATGCAAATTATGTGTGAAATACATCTGTGTGTTACTTTGAAACTTCAGGGGCAGGAGTTCAGTGCCATGGCTAAGATGCTGCTTGGGATACTTGCAGCCCGTATCAAAGCTTGTAGGTTCGAGTCACAGATTTGCTCCTGATTCCAGCTTCCTCCTAATGTGCTTCCTGTGGGAAGTGGTGATAGCTAAGTAGTTGGGTCCTTCCTTTCACATAGGGGACCATGATAAAGTTCCCAGTCCCCAGCTTTGTCCTGGCCCAACCCCAGCTGTTTCAGGCATTTAGGGAGTGAACCAATAGATAGGAGATCTCCATCTGTCTCTCCCTGTGCCTGCCTTTCAAATAAATAAAGCACATTTTTTTTAAAAGCAAGAAAAGAAAATATGACTTCTGTCAAAAAAAAAAAAAATAGAAACTTCAGTTTCTTACTGTCAAAATAAAATCAATAGGAGGAAGCCCTGAGAGTTAAGGAGTCCAATTATAGAGTTCTTAAATGGGTTGCTGAGCTTGGATATTTTCCCATCTCTGATTTCCAGACAAATTGCAATATTTTGAAAGCATCTTTGTATTACATTTTCTCCCTCTCCCTCTCTCTCTTGCCTCCCATATCCCTCTTGATCTAGATTTAAGGTTTGATTTTTGTTTGCTATTGGAAACAAATTAACTTAATAAACTGCTAAAGTAAAAAGTTAGCTTCCATGTGAGACAAAGATGACCTTTCTCTTGGTGGTGACATGGGCAATATTGTAAACTCTAAATTATAGCCAGCATATTTTTATATTTCGAAGTTCCTCCAGAACACATCTGTGTGTGTGTGGCTTCCTAAGATGAGGGAATGATGCGAATTAGTGCGCTACCTCCTGTGGATTCCAGAATTGAAGCCTTGACTTTGCCATTGACTTCTGGGACTCTTTGAGTCTGGCCACCAAGACTGCCAGCTCCAGAGTGGATAATGGGAACTCAGTAGCCTTGACCAGTTATTTTCACAATGAAGAAGAGATTCTTCAATTTACTTGCACAGAAATTCATGATAAGAATCATAGGGCTGGGTCAGATAGCCACAACCCTTTTAGACTAATAGTAAATAACCAATAATAAGTCACAGAAACTCAAAACCTCACCACTGTCTTGTTGCCTTCATTTGTTCCATAAGCCAAAGAAAAAAATCAGTAGGAAATTCATGCTCAGGCAATGTTGAGTCTCGACAGGGAAGTTCTGAGCATCGCTTTGATACCAAGAGAGTGTTCAACATCATTTTGTAAGAGGTCAGTGTTGGTGTGTTTTTTAAAATTATCAAGTTGAGGAGGGGGTTAGCAAGACAGCCCTTATTGCAGGTAAAATGATGTATATTAGAGGTAGGAAAGTTGGTGCTTTGAAGCAAAGTCAGACCACGTTCTCAGTCCAGGCCGGGGGATGATGGTCAGGGCACCACGGAGAGATGTTTAGGAGTTGGACTTACAAGAAGAGGGCTCAGTGGATCTCTTTTGGCATTAGAAAGAGAAGGGAGGGGAAAGATTTACTTTGGAAGATGAAGCTGTTAGTGACTTCCAGAGCTTCTACAGATATCTTGTAAGTGTTGGGGAGGCTGTCAGGGCCTCTGTCCTCATATCATCTCTTCTTACCAGGCTGTGATCTTCTGACCAAGTGTGTAAAACCTAAATCATTTTACAAAGGACAAAGGGTGTAATCTGAAGAGCATCCATGTAGGATGACTATTCTGAATGTCAGTCTCATTGTGTGGCTTTTATGAAAGAATCCAATGCTGCTCCAAGCGCAGCCTCAGCTCCTCTGCCTTACCTCACTGTAACTAGAGAAGATGGGTGCTTGTGTTGAATGCAGACTGCCTGGAGCCACCTGGGATTTACTGGAATGGAATCCCTAGAGGTGCTGCCTGAGAATCTGCATTTTTAACAATTTGCATGCTTCTGGTGATGCTTATGCACATTCGCTTTTTTAAAAAGATTTGTTTATTTGAAAGGCAGAGTTACACGGAGAGAAGGAGAGACAGGAAGAGAGATCTTCCATATGCTGGTTCACTCCCCAAAGGGCCACAAAACCCAGGGCTGGCCAGGCTGAAGCCAGGAACCAAGAGCTTCTTCCAGATCTCCTGCATGGGTGTCAGGGGCCCAAACACTTGGGCCATCTTCTGCTTCCTTCTGAGGAGGAATATTAATGGGTTGCTGGATCAGAAGTAGAGCAGCACCCATATGGCCATGCTGACATCCTAGGTGGCTGCTTAATCTGTTATGCCACAATGCCTGCCCCCACATATGCTTTGGAGCGCTGAAAGTGATGAAAGAGGCTGCCCTTAGTTGATAAAATGAGCAACTTGGCTCACCATCATTAAGCCATTAGTTACTTACTGATTTTAATTTTTTAAAGATTTATTTATTTGAAAGGCAGAATTAGAGAGAGAGAGAGAGAGAGAAGCAGAGAAAGAGAGATCTTCCATCTGCTGGTTCACTCCCCAAATGGCCACAACAGGGTTGGGCCACGCTGAAGCCAGGAGCCAGGAGTTTCATCCAGATCTCCCACATGGGTGCAGGGGTCCAAGCATTGCACCTTACTCCACTGCTTTCCTAGGCACATTAGCTGGGAGCTGGATTGGAAGTACAGCAGCCAGGACTTGAACCAGTGACCATATAGCATGCTGGTGCTACAGGCGACAGCTTAACTTGCTGCACCATAGCACTGATGCTCCTCCCCCTTTTTTGCGTCCTGATTTTCATGGTAAGCATTCTTCTACCATGTTCACCTTGTCTCCAAAGGTTTGCATTTGCTCTTTTTGTGAGGAAGGAATACATCTCACACCCAACTACTCCCTGGCCTCTTCACTTTTCTCCTAAAGAACTGAAGTTCTCAACCCGAGGCACATGTTATGGTCTGCACGTTTGGTTCTCCCACTCTCATACCCTCAGCCCCAATTCCTATGCTGAAGCCTGATCACACGACATGAAATTACGTGGTAGGGTTTTGAGGATGATTAGCTGATGAGGATGAAGGTATGTCTGATGAACTAGGAAGCAGATCTCCACCAGATACTAAAACTGCTCACACCTTGGCCATGTACTCTGCACCCTCCAGAACTGTGAGCAAAAAATCTCTGTTGCTTATAAGCCACTCAGGCTATGACATTCTATTATAGCAGCCTGAACAGATTAACACAGTATGCTGGGTCATATGTCCCATACACTGAAATGCAGCTTATAGAATGTGTTTTATGTTGCTCATGTTATGTGAATCCCATCAATGTAAGTATGAAGCCATTAACATCTCACATGTTACCTCTCATTATACCCCTGTGGTAGATCCACTAGAATAATTCTGCTACCTTTAAAAATCAAGAAATATAAAATTTTTTCTTCAATTTTTTCTCCACTGTTTTATATGCTTGGGAATTAAAAATATATAACCTGAATAAAAGATAATGTCAAAATAAATTCTAAGCTTTCATGTAGATAGTCATGAGTTTCAAGGGAATGTGTTTTGACAGAAAGTAGCAGTCTGGGCATTTGAAACAGTTATCATGGATAAAGATTTGGTCTTCTTTTATTATTATTGTAATTTCTATCCCCCTCTGGCCTTCTTCCTTTGCTGTAGAAATTCTCGTTGCTTTTGTCACATTTTTGCATGGGATGTGTTCCTTTCTTGGAACAATCAAGGCAGTCTTTCTCAGCTGGAAGTGTCACTTGGTTCTCCAGCAAGCATTGCCAATTAGCTCACAAATATTCCTTGGAGCAATGCTAGATAGGTTTGAGTTTTTAATCTGGCTTCGTTGATCATGGAAGGCAATATTTGACATAAGGCTGATACACTGAGTCCATTCCAACACCGTGTAGATATATTCTGGGAAATGGCTCATGGACAGCAGTTAGAGAATAGGGAATTCAAAAACCTACTGCAAGAGAGCACGACATGAGGACATGGAAGCACAACTCAACGACTGCGACTTTTTGGGTTGCATCTTGGCACCCAACATAGTACTCACTGTTAAGCAGGTGGCATCATTAAAGAAGTCTCTTGGACAAAAGGGGAATTCCACTCCACTCAGAACATGTGGCAAAGCTCTTAAAATTATTTCCAATTTTCACTCACATCAGAGCAGTGGCTTCTAATATCTCCGTCTGCTCTCAAAATCTGCCCCTCACTCCATCTCCCAAATCACAAGCCCCATTTCTTTTTGTCTCTCATCTTTTCTTTTAACCTTCCCAAGTATCTTCTTTCCTCCCTAACCAACTCTCTGCCCTTCTTGATTGGAACCAAAAGCACGAACATGATGGTGCAACCTTGGTCCAATTCAGTGGTGTATGTAAGCCCAAATACCATGTTGGATTTAAGAGTGTGTGAGTGAAGTTATGGATTTGTTGTGAAAATCAGTCTTTACTGATGAAAGTCTGGCTTTTTTTTTAAGAGGTAAGACAACACTGGATCATTCCTGGCAGAAGTCAAAGGAGAAGCTTGAGTGACCAGCTGTGATAGACACCATCCTGGTTTTGGTAACAGAAAGTTTGGGTCCCAGTGACCCCTCATTTCTAACAAGTGATGATAGTTGGTAAACTTAGAAAAAGTGTCTGAGGTGTCTCTCAAGGGAAGAGCATGTAATGAGAGCTTCGAAAACAATCTAAAGATGACAAAAGTGAGACTCCTTTAATTAAATAAGACAAATTCACTGCACCTAGAGGACCCCATGGGTTGCTCAGACATTATTAACTCCCCATTCCATTCCCCATCTTGTGGATTCAGATTCAGCATAGCCGACTTGTGACCATGGCTAAGCCAAGGCTCCTGCCTTCATCTCAGACATCATCCAGGGTAACAGAGGCAGTAAGAAAGCTTTTAAGTACTAATTTTCCTTTACTCAGATCTGCTAAGTCTTTTTTTTTTTTTCAACAACTTAACCTCACTTTCACCTTTAGAACCAGAAAATTAGTCATTCACTAAATGAAAGCCATCACTACATGGTTACTTATCTGCATGGATGAAACTAGTCATGCTGGCTTGAAGTCATTAATTTTAGTTGTGAAGACATTTTACTGTCCCCATCCTTATGAGAGGATGCCAACACATGAATAGATACTGTTCTTTCATTTTTACTCACAGTTCTAATGACATTATAATGATATTTGCTTTTTATCTTAAAAATTACATTTTAAAGAAAGCTACCCATGCCATATTCTTTCAAAATTTGAACTGAAAGTATTTATGACTGACCAGGATGATCTCTAGTTGATCTTGCCTGACACTGTGGGCAGCTGTGCTAAGGCACCATCCAGCATACCACTGTGCTAGGCATGATTGCTGCATACCACTTCCTCAACCCCATTCTGATGCATCATCTCTCCCCTACAATTCAGGTCCTCAGGGTATTTCCCTCACTAGTAGCTTAATATTCTTAATGAGGCCTCCTGTGGGCTGAGGTCGTTTGTTCTTATGATGGTCAGAAGAATCTGGACTGAAAGGGGATTGTGTAAAGAACAAAAGCTAAAGTCTTACAAAAGCAAATCTTATTGGTATTGCAAATGCATTTGTTAGTTGCAAAAGACAGAAGCATAAATCTAACAATGGACATCAATTAAATCATGTTTTCAATAATTTCTAAAAGCACATAAGAAAGTTTTAAGTTTCTTAATAATTATTCTGTTAAAAGGTTCACTAGTTTTGCACAATACATTTGATATATAGTGTAAGTTAAATGAAGCAAGATTTACTGGAACTAGAATATAGGAGTCATGAGATAATTGCTCTATATTGATTCATTAGGAAATCACTTCATAACTACCATCAACCTAAATTCTGAGAACAAGTGGTTCAAAGACCAAATGACAACAAAAAGGTCCTCCTAGGATAGAAATTCCAAATCCAAGACTCCAAAGTGGTCATTGTCACCCTAAAAGCAATTTTAATTAGAACAGTTAATTAGAGCACTTTCTGGAATGCTAGCCCTCAGCCTAAACCTCCTGTTTTCCTTGGAAATCAGCCTTGGAGGTTTGGGAATGTTGCTTCAAAATGTGACTTTGCTTTGCATTTATGTGAATTTCATCTTCCTTCCCTTCTTTTAAGCAAAGCCTTGTGGTTTCAGGATGTCTCCTATCTATTTTCATTCCCTCCTTTGTCCCTTTGCATCAGCCAGAACCCTTCAGTGTAACCTAAACACTGACCTAAAACAAAGAGGGCTTGCTGGAAAGTGGAGCAAGATGGTGCCTGGGTAAGGAGTTCCAGTGAACATCTCCCCACAAAGACAACAATTTGAACAGCTCTTCATGTACCAAGTCACCATCACAATAAGGAAGGGAATAATTGCTTTGTTACCCCTCCATTAGCTCCATTTAGTTCAGTGTGGAGAGACACCTCCTGCTTGGAGGAGGGAAAGGGAGTAAAGTCCAGACCTTAGACTTGAACCCAGTATAAACCTTGCTTTGGCAAAACCGAACATCAGACAGAACCTCATAGCTTTTTCCCCCACGCTTCTACTTGTAGACTGAATCTTTGGTCTATCCTTAACCACGTGATCAAGGGACCACATTCACCATCCCTCCCTTGACCTTCAATGGACAGCAGAGGAAGACTTAAGCTTTTGGAAAATAAGGTGAGAAAATGAACTTAGGACTCTGCTTTGAAGCTCAGTGCTCTCCTGGCGAGACTCAGCACCACCTAAAGCCTAAATGCTTCCACAGTTTGCTCACAGACACAGCCTCTAAATCTTGACTGGCATTAGGTGGAGACCCATGGCCTGGTGGAATGATCAACATTTCATCCCACATTACCCCCAAGCTCGCTCTCTATTTATTTTTCAGATTGACTTTATTTATTTGAAAGGTAGAGAGAAAGGTGTAGAGACACAAAGAAAGATATCTTCCATCCATTGGTTCACTGCCCCAGGTGACAACAGCAAGGACTGGGCCAGGAGTTTCTTCCAAGTCTCCAACATAGATGCAGAAGGCCAAGTTGGTCCATCCTCTACTGCTTTCCAGGAATATTAACTGTGAGCTAGAACAGAAGTGAAGCAAGCAGGACTTGAACTAATACCCATATGGGATGGCACAGATGGCAGCTTTACCCACTATTTACCCATTATGCTACAATACTGGCCCCTGCCTTTTTTAAAAAAAAATATTTTATTTTATTTGAAAATCAGAAGTAGAGAGAAAGAGAGAGAGATCTTCCATCCATTGATTCATTCCCTACATGGCCACAACAGCCAGGGCTGGGCAAGGCTAAGGCCAGGAGCTTTATCCAATTCACCCAGGGAGTAACAGGAGCCCAAATACTTGGGCCATCTTCCATTGTTTTCCCAGGCCATTAACAGGGAGCTGTATCACAAGTGGAGTAGCTGGGGTATGAACTGGCAACCATGTAGGATGCTGAATTCACAGGCAGCAGCTTTACCTGCCACAATGTTGGCCCAACTCCCAGCCTCTTGAAGACTTGGTGTGCATCTACAAGACAATGAAGTGCCCTGTATAGCTGTTTGACTTAGGTGTAACCTAGCTTAATGTCACTTTGGGGAGTCAAAGGACTACATTTATGATTTAGCAGCCATGGGTAGACAGCAATGAGCAAGACTATAGCCACTGGGGAGTAGGGTATCAAAGGAGCATAGGGCTGCATTTTGGATATGGTAAAGACATCACTGAGAAGACATAAAATGTCCCTGTCTCCAGTCAGTGCCTTGGACATAGTCCCTGGATCTACCACAGTCCCAAATGGAGACTGTGGCTCCAGTCAACTGGACTTGGAGTCTTATGCAACAGGTAGCATACAGCAAAGTAGGCCTTGGTGCTACCCTGTGTTGTGCTGCATCATAGCTGGCTGTGAGTTGTGGGTGTGATATAACATTAAGGCACAGATGGACATAGGACTACTCCAACCAATCTTTCCTTAAATCAAGAAGCATAACATTGGGAGTAATTGTCTTCATGGAGAAAGAAAATAAAGCTGGGTGTCAACACATATCATGGACACCTGGATTTGGCACGGCAGAGACTTGTGTGTTTCTGCTGGACTAGGATCCATGCTGCTATGACCTTGCCTTTGACCATGCCAATGTGGTTATCTGAGCAGCCTCTCCGGGTCTCTGACCTGGCACTTCCACAACTCCAACTATAGTGGACTGAGGGAAAGTGCACTATGACCCCAGCCCATGCCCCATAGGATTCTACCAAAACTTATGCATCCTTGGTGGGACTGAAAGTAATACTCTATGCCCCCACTGAAACTGCCACCAATTGTTGAAAAGATATAAAGTTATGATATTGTAGAATCCATTTGGAAATAAGATCAAAATAGCCTACCAAGCTAGTATTTGAAGACACATCTTTAAGAGAAAGCCTTTTGCAATGAAAGTCACTTCTGAACAGTGATAGAAACAATGAATCTGCTAGATATGCAAACATCAATGTAAGGACACAGGAAGTATGAAAAAATAAGGCAGTACCATGTTTCCAAAAGAAAACAATAATGCTTTAGTAACATACTCTGAGTCAAAGGGATCACATAAACAAGACTAGTGTCTGCAAATAGTAACTGATAGAACAAAAAAGGGAGAGAATGATCCAACAAGGGAAGCAGGATACACAGCAGACTCATAGAGTGGCAGATGTCCTAAACAGCACTCTGGCCTCAGAATCAGCCCTTAACGCACGCGGATCTGGCTGAAAAGCCAATGAGAGTATTTTAGGCATGGAAAGACAAGACACTCTGGCAAAAAAAAAAAATGAAATGACCTAAATGAAAGATCTCTGCAAGTGAGATCCCAGTGGAAAGAATGGGGCCATCAAAGAAGGAGGTACCTTTCTCTGAAGGGAAGAGAGAACTTCCACTTTGACTATGACCCTGTCAGAATAAGATCAAAGTCAGCGAACTCAAAAGGCCTTCATAGCCTTGGCAATTCATGACAAGAGCCTAGGGTGATTACTGACGCCATAAACAAGAGTGTCAAATTGTTAAGTCAACAACAGGAGTCACTGTGTACTTACTCCTCATGTAGGATCTCTGTCCTTAATGTGCTGTACATTGTGATTTAATGCTGTAACTAGTACTCAAACAGTATTTTTCACTTTGTGTTTCTATGTGGGTGCAAACTGTTGAAATCTTTACTTAATATATGCTAAATTGATCTTCTGTATATAAGGATAATTGAAAATGAATCTTGATGTGAATGGAAGGGGGGAGGGAGAGGGAAAGGGGAGGGTTGCAGGTGGGAGGCAAGTAATAGGTGGGGGAAAAAGCCATTGTAATCCATAAGCTGTACTTTGGAAATTTATATTCATTAGATAAAAGTTAAAAAAAGTAACATACTCTGAAGAAAAGGAGATTAGATTAATTATAGAGATGGGTTCCAAGATGGCAGAGTAGGGAGGGAGCTTACTGCTCTAGTCTCAGAGAAGATAGTTTTTAAAAAGTGTAAAGAGTGTAGTCTCAGGGAAGGAAGAAAATGGCAAAGGAAACTCTTCAAATTAGAGGGACATGGTGGACCTACATGGAGGTCATGGATGCCCTAACTCAGGATTCCAGCAGCTGAGAGCCTATATACCAGCATTGGAAGTGAGGGGAGACCAGACCACAGTAGCACAAGCCACTGATCATAAAGCTGTAGGAAGAGCCTAGAGGGAACTTGGCTTGGAGCCCTGTGGGGGATAGTGTACCTGCCAAACTAGAGGAGGAAAAAAATAAAAGAAGGGCTACATTTGTCTCTCCCCAGTCACTTTACAATGGCATCCTGTAACAAGCTGATAGAATGGGCACCATTTTGGACAACTCGTGTCCATGCCCAGCAACCAGACGACTGGAGATTCCTGACTCTAATGGGAAGAACTAAGTAAGAGCTGGGAGTTCGTGACTGTGAGAAGCTTGTGTGCCAGGACTGTGAAAAAAACTGAGGGTGTGTAGTAGGACTCACAGTGTGGCTGGACTTGGTTCAGTCACTGTGGGAGACTCCATATGCTCAGAGCTTCCTGGTTATCTGGTGGGGGACATTGCTGGGGAATCTGAGCTTACAGCGAGGACTGCATAGATCCTTTGTGAGGTCCTTGGGGCAGAACAGATGAAAATTATAACCACTGGGGCTGGTGCTCAGGCCTAGCCTTTGAGCTCCTTTGAGGAGAAGAGCTCAGCTGAGAAGAATAAACTGCCCCTTCCGATTAAAAAAAATAGGAGATTTACCATGCCAAACCCGAATGTGCCATCTTAGACATGCCCTTCACCCTGGAGAACTTAAGAGAGCTCCCCTGGCCATACCCACTACAAGCCTCTAGATTTGAAAGAAGACATTCCACTTATCTACAGAGGCATAGTACAAAGATGAAACCACTGGTGGGGGGGGAGAATAAACAAAGTAAAAACCAATGAGTATCTCCATAAATGCTGAATGACAAATGCACCAATTCAAGAAACAAGAATAAGGAAGATAGCCATGACACCCGCAAAAGAACACAACACTTCAATATTTCATTGTGGTGAGTTTGATTACAATGTGTCATGGTGAAGATCTTTTCCAGTCATGTCTATGAGGAATTCTATTGTACTTGGATGCTCCTTTCTTTCTCCAAATTAGAGAAGTTTTCTGTTATTATTTTGCTAAAAAGGCCTTCTAATCCTTTCTCTCCACACCTTCAGGAACTCTTGGAACCCATATGTTGGGTCATTTGATCGTATCCTGTAGATACCCAACAGTGTTTTTTAGTTCTCTAATTTCCTCATATTGCTTTTGGTTTTACTGTATAATCTCCTGAAAACCTCCACTGAAAGACTTTTGGAACTCATAAAAGAGTTTGGTAAATTAGCAGGGTATAAACTCAATACAGAAAATTCAACAGCCTTTGTATACACAGACAATGCCAAGGCTGAGATTGAGCTTCTATGATCAATCCTTTTAACAACAGTTAGAAAAAAAATCAAATACCTTGAAATAAATTTAACCAAGGATGTTAAAGATCTCTACAATGAGAATAACGAAACATTGAAGAAACAAATAGATGAAGATACAAAAAAAAAAAAAAATGGAAAAAGCTTCCATGTTCATGGATTGGAAGAATCAATATCATCCGAGTGTCCATTCTTCTGAAAGCAACTTACAGATTCATTGTGATATCAATCAAACTACCAAAGACATTCTCAGATCTACAAAAAATGATACTGAAATTCATATGGAGGCTCAAGAGATCTAAAATAGCTAAAGCAATCTTGTACAACAAAAACAAAGCCAGAGGCATCACAATACCAGATTTCAAGACATACTACAAGGAAGTTATAATCAAAACAGCTTGGGACTGGTACAGAAATAGGTGGATAGACCAGTGGAACAGAATAGAAACACCAGACATTAATCCAAACATAGACAACCAACTTATATTTGACCAAGGATATAAAACCAGTCCCTGGAGCAAGAACAGTCTATTCAACAAATGGTGCTGGATAAACTGGATTTTCACATGCAGAAGTATGAAGCAAGATCCCTACCTTACACCTTACACAAAAATCCACTCAACATGGATTAAAGATCTAAATCTATGACCCAGTACCATCAGATTATAATAGAACATTGGGAAACTCTTCAAGACGTTGGCACAGCAAAGTTCTTGGACAAGAACCTAGAAGTTCAGGAAGTCAAAGCCAAAATTAACAAATGGGATTTCACCAAATTGAGGAAGTTTCTGTGCAGCAAAAGAAACATTCAGGAAAGTGAAGAGGCACCCAACAGAATGGGAGATATTATTTGCAACTTTGTAACTAAAAAGTATTAATAACCAGAATATAAAAAGAGATCAAGAAACTCCACAACAACAAAACAAACAACCAAGTTAAGAGATGGGCAAAGGACTTAAACAGACACTTTTCAAAAGAGGAAATCCAAATGGCCAACAGACACATGAAAAAATGTTCAGGATAACTAGCTGTTAGGGAAATGCAAATCAGAACCACAATGACTTTTCACCTCACTGCAGTTAGAATGGCTTTTGTACAGAAATCAACAAACACATACTGGTGAGGATGTGGGATGAAAAGGTCCTCTAATCCACTGTTGATGGGAAAGTAAACTTGTAAAGCCACTGTGGAAGACAGCATGGAGATATCTCAAAAATTTGAATATAGACCCAGCCATCTCACTGCTGGGAATTTAGCCAAGGGAAATGAAATAAGCAAACAAAAGTATTATCTGCACTTCTGTGTTTAATGGAGCTCAATTCACAATAGTTAAGACATGAAATCAACCTAAATGCTCATCAACCAAAGACTGGATAAAGCAATTATGGGATATTTACACTATGAATACTACATAGTGGTAAAAAAAGATGAATCTGTTCATTTGCAATAAAATGGATGAATCTGGAAAACATCGTATATAGTGAAATAAGCAAGTCCAAAAGGGACAAAAATATGTTTTCTCTGATCAGTGAGAACTAATAGATCACCTAAAACACCTAAAAACAAATCTGTAGAAGTAAAATTGAACTTCAAGAAGGCATGACTTGAGCTGCCCTTGTCTTGACTATCAAGGAACAGTTTCATTTTTTTTTGTTTTTTACTTTTTTTATTTTTCATTTTTTAACTTTTATTTAATGAATATAAATTTCCAAAGTACAGGTTATGGGTTACAATGGCTTTTTCCCCCACCCATAACTTCCCTCCCACCTGCAACCCTCCCATTTCTCTCTCCCTCCCCCCTTCCATTCACATCAAGATTCATTTTCAATTATCCTTATATACAGAAGATCAGTTTAGCATATATTAAGTAAAGATTTCAACAGTTTGCACCCACATAGAAACACAAAGTGTAAAATACTGTTTGAGTACTAGTTACAGCATTAAATCACAATGAACAGCACATTAAGGACAGAGATCCTACATAAGGAGTAAGTGCACAGTGACTCCTGTTGTTGACTTAACAAATTGACACTCTTGTTTATGGCGTCAGTAATCACCCTAGGCTCTTGTCATGAGTTGCCAAGGCTATGAAGGCCTTTTGAGTTCACCAACTCTGATCATATTTAGACAAGGTCATAGTCAAAGTGGAAGTTCTCTCCTCCCTTCAGAGAAGGTACCTCCTTCTTTGATGACCTGTTCTTTTCACTGGGATCTCACTCGTGGAGATCTTTCATGTAGGGTTTGTTTTGTGTGTGTTTTTTCTGGTTTTTTCTTTGTTTGTTTGTTTTTGCCAGAGTGTTTTGGCTTTCCATGCCTAAAATACTCTCATGGGCTTTTCAGCCAGATCCGTATGCCTTAAGGGCTGATTCTGATGCCAGAGTGCTGTTTAGGACATCTGCCATTCTATGGGTCTGCTGTGTATCTCGCTTCCCATGTTGGATCGTTCTCTCCCGTTTTTATTCTATCAGTTAGTATTTGCAGACACTAGTCTTGTTTATGTGATCCCTTTGGCTCTTAGTCCTATCATTATGATCAATTGTGAACAGAAATTGATCACTGGGACTAGTGAGATGGCATTGGCACATGCCACCTTGATGGGATTGAATTGGAATCCCC